GGCAAAAGAAAAAAAACTGGAAGGAGGACGCTCAACAGACGATGCTGGATCTAGGTGGATCGAAATAGCCGAGAAGGGAGGTCAATTAATAAAATGGTTGCAGACATCGTCCAGATGCAGAGTCCGGTGGTACATCCTCCTTTTCTAAAAAAAGCACTGCACCTCATGTCTTCTTCATATGAAGCCCACAAAATAGCAACAAAAAGGTTGATGTTTGAAAAGAGAGGGTCGGCAGGGCCATTGAAGTGCAGCTCCTGGTCATTTTTGCAACTGGATGTGGTTTGAGAATTTTATTATCTTTTTTAATCTGCTTCAGCTTACCATTTGTAACTGTTGGAAGGGAGAGGTAGGATTTTGTGGAATAGTCTTATGTATTGCTTGAGCCTCGTGGGCATATATATAGGAGTACATGATCTACTTGGAGTACAAGGCAAGCTAGAATATTTCCTAGTATAACCTATGTTTCCAACACAATCACGTTACTCAACATCCCCCCGCAGTCACAACGGTAGCGACACAGACGGTGAGACTGGAGAAGAATCTGAAGGCAAGCCGATGGACACAGTCGTAACGGTCGACGCATCGTGGAAGTCGTGGCTGGAGTGGAAACCGACGAGGTTGCTCAAGCAAGGCGGTAGCCCTTTGTGTCGTTGTCGAGGTAGCCGAGAGCGTGGGTGGTGGAGCCGTGGTTGAGGTAGCCGTGCGAAGAATGCCGTGGTCGATGTCGAGTTGGGGTAGCCGGTGTCGAGGAAGTCGCCATGGAGCTGCGGGCGCAAGGAGGCGCCGAGTTAGTCGTGGGCGCAGTGGTGTCGAAGTAGTGGTGCGCCAGGAAATAGATGATGTTGACGATGCATCGCATCGGGGTTGCCAACCCCGGGGACACATCGTAGACGAAGGCACGCGTCGGTGTTGCCAGCACCGGGCATGCGTAGACGGACAAAAACGAAGTTGACGAAGCACCGCACCAGGCTTGCCAGGCCCGGGGACACGTCGTGGACGAAGGCACACGGCGGTATTGCCAGCACCGGGCATACATAGATTGGGACCTGCACGAGCTGTACGCCATGTCAAAGAAGTCGGAGAGGCCAGCAGAGAAGGACTCGACGACGATTGCGGCGCCAATCGGCACGGGCCAATGTCGCCCGCGGTAGTGGGAGTAGATGAAGCGGTCGGGGTAGATGACGGCGACGCTGGCGATGGGTTGGTGCTGGATGAAGATGAACGGGGTGGACGGGTGGTCGCGGTGGCGCCGGCCAAGGGAGAGTGGTGGCGGCGGCCTGACGGCGGCAACGGCGGCTAGGTTAGGAGCGCGGTGGCATGCTGGAAGCAGGCGAAGAACCCGACAGCATGACGAAGACCAGCGCAGGCAGTGGCGTTTCCGCGCCAAGGGAGGCGGCACGGCGCATACCATGAAAAGTCGACGCACAGTGACGGCGGTGGACCGCGGCCCGTGACGCTATGGCTCGAAGGGGCGACGCAGCGGTGACGGGCAGGTCGGGGCGACGACGGGAAGACCTCGGGACGGCGGCAGGGACCGCGGGCTACGGTGCGACAACCCGAAGGGGCGGCGCGGCGAGGGAGCGTGGGTCGGTGCAACCGCGGGGACGGCCTCAGGACGGTGGCATGGACTGCGTGCCACGCTCGCTACGGGGACGACCATGCAGCGATGGCGCGAGGGTCGGTGCAGCCACGGGGACGACCTGGAGCGGACGGCCTTGCGGCGGCGGTGGACTGCGGGCCGCGGCACTACGGCCCAAAGGGACGACACAGCGGTGACGTAGGTCGGTGCAGCCGGAAGAAGAACCACGAGGCGGTTGCGCGGTCGGTTGAGGGGCGCACTGAACTCGGGACAGTATTCCCGAGGCCTGCGGAAGCACGCGCAACCAACGGGCCAAGTCGGTCGCATGGCGTAGATGAGGCGGATCGCAGCGGCGGGCAGGTGATCAATCCGATCGCGCGCGAGGTCTGGGACGCCGCTCGGTGGAGACGGGGTGGCGGCGGAGTCCGAGATGATTCCGGTGACGGTGGGCGGCAGGGCGACTATGATTGGCCGCCGCATGGCGCGAGGCCGCCGGATCGGGGTGATGCAGGAGTCCCGGTCGAAGCAGGGCGGTGACGGCCGGCGTAGATCGACGGGCTGGCCGGTGCATGAACGACGGCGGTGAAGGGCCACCACATGACACGAGGCCGCCGAGTCGGGGCGACCAGCGGGCAGACGTGCGAACGACGCGCGAAGCCGCCGGGTCGGTGAAGTAGCCGGCCGGTCGCACGAATGTCGGAGTAGAGGCGCGCGGGGGTTGACGGCGGCGATGGGCGACGCAAACCGATCAAGATTAGATCGGAAAACCAAAAAGAAAAACGCTGATCAAAACGACCGGCGAGAGAGCGAAAAAACCCGGAGCCAGGGCTCAGGAAAAAGACTCTCCAGGGCAGCCGGCCAACACGGCCGGCGGATAAACCCTAGGTACGGGCGGCGCGGCTCCCCGGTGGCGATCATGGAGGCCGACCGCCCCAGGGGCGGCGGGCGGGTGCGAAAGCGTCGGGCTAGGGTTTAGGATTGAGATAAGGCTGATACCATGTTGGAAGGGAGAGGTAGGATTTGATGGAATAGTCTGATGTATTGCTTGAGCCTCGTGGGTATATATATAGGAGTACATGATCTACTTGGACTACAAAGCAAGCTAGAATATTTCCTAGTCTAACCGATGTTTCCAATACAATCACGTTACTCAACAGTAACAAATACAGTTCATCGAAATTTAACACTACATGGGAATTAAACTGAGTGAGAGTTTGTATCTAAAGCATACCTGATGC